CTGTGGTTAATTAACCTTTGACCTATCGTCGCCATAGTCGTAGGATGGAGATTTCTGTCACGATGGTGATGTTGTTGTTGATGATGGCGACGATGTTGCTGCTGTGGCTGCTGCTGTTGCTGCTGGCGATTGTGGTGGTGATGATGATGATGATTTGAGAGGCTGTAGTCGTCATCGTCGTCGTCATCGTCTTCAACGCTTTCGCCGTCAAAACTGTTGTTGGTGGCTCTTAGCTGTTGTCGATGTACGTGATGATGATGATGACGACGACGATGATGATAGTAATGATGATGATGATGTTGTTGTTGTTGTAGATGATGATGATGATGTTGCAGATGAAGATGATGATGATGGTGACGTTGTTGATGATGGCAGGAATGGGGGTGATAATTTAAGGGATGGCAATTTTTTTTTTGGATAACAATCAATCACCATCAAAGCATGAATTTGCCATCATCATCATTATCATCATCGTCGTCATCATCACCTCTCACCTTATTATCGCCATCTCCATTCCTTGCAATGATGACGTCATCGTCGTTTGTCCTGTTGAAACGGGACTCGCCGAATTTCGGGTTTTCCCTCTTCCCAGCTTCCTTCGCGTGGGACGATCTATATTTAGAATGAAATTCTATTTCCGTACTGCTATCATTATCACCGATACTACTACTACTACTAATAATAAAAACAACAACAATAACAATAACAACCGTAACAACAACAATAATAATAATGAGACTCACGTGACACCGGCGATATTCATAGCTTCAGTAGCATCTTTGGTGTTTCTGCGCCTCTTCAAGTCAATCTTGTCCAGCATCTTCCTATAAGCCTGCGATGATGATGATGACGACGACGATAATGATGATGGAGGTGTCGATAATGATACCAATAACGGAACCACACGCGCGCACGCAAACCAACTTTTTTAATGTAATCCATCAATTCGAGATCCCGCCTCTTCTGCAGTAGCTCCATCTTGACATTGCCGTAGGCGTCACTGATTATAGCGACAAACATGCCAGCCAATAGGATGAGGAGGATGAAGATGACGATTATGAAATAGGCGGGGCCAAGAACGCTATTGGTCGAGAGGATTGAGTCGTAGTTGAAATCCCCCAAAAGAATTTTGAACTGGGAATACCTTGTGGCGAAGATAACGATGACAATGACGAAGATAATAATAATAATAACAATAATATGAATAATAAAAATTACCATTTTTCAATTAATAATATTCGATACACGCCCCAAACAAAAATCGTTTAATCTATACTAACAGAGCCCCCTCAAAAGTGTTGAACCCTGGAACGGTCGACCCGAATAGAAAGTAGGCAAGTAGGGCAAACGAGACGTAAACAAGGGTGAATATAAAGGTGAAGGTCACGATCTCGGACAGGCAGCTACTTAAGGTCATTGATAATTGGGTCATGGTTCGTGTCAGGCCAATGAACTTGAATAACTGTCGAGATTTTTCATCGGTCGGTTGGTTTGTTGTGTGGAGTGGTTGAATGATTTTTTTTTAAAAAACAACAATCAACTAACAAACTGACAGACAGACAGACAAACAAACAGACAGACAGACAAATAAACATACAAACCTTAATCCAACAACAGAATAAGGTGACAGCCATGAACCCCATATAAATACCTTCTAGTTCAGCCAGTGAGTTCAAATCAACATGATGTGAAAGAACATTATAGCCATATATATTACCATCACCACCATAATTACCATTACTGTTCCTTGTGTCATTGTAAGTATTGTTATTATTAGACGATGATGACGTTGTTGTTGGGGTGATGTTGATGTTGTTGTTAGTTTTGGTAGAATTAGTTGTTGGTACATTAAAACCGATACCATTACTACCACTAAAAGTAGTAGTACTGCTGCTACTTCTACTACCACTACTACTTCTTGTAGTAGTGGTCAAAAATCCGTCATCGCTACCGCGACTACCGTTATTATTATTATTGTTGTTGTTATTGTTGTCGAAGTTGTTGTTGTTGTTGTAGTTGTTGAGTATGGTGTCATTCAGCCTGGTGGTCTTCAGGATGGTGAGGACGAGGCACGTGACGAGCAGAAGCACGATTATGACGTCATTAACGTTGAAGAAGGATCTCCAGTAGCCGCATCTCAATCTGTAGATCTGGAGTGGAGAGGTAAGAGGAAAGAAAAAATGAATAAAGGTGAGAGATTGAATGAAGAGAAAGAGAAAAAAGATAAAGGTTGAAAGAAAGATTAAAAATAGAAAGAAAAAAAGAAATATAGATATATATATATAGATAGGTAGATAGATAGATTGAGAGAAAATAAAATTAAGAAACTTTCCAATGAATATTTTTGCGACAAGAATAATTAGATCTGAAATGCAAACGATAATAATATAGTTTTCGATACTGACGATTACGTCACGACGACGACGATGACGTCACGTTACGATGGCGACGACAATGATGTTAATAATAATGATGAGAGGTGGTTGTGGTGATACTGACCTCAATAACTTCTTCAATGGCAAAGTATATGAGGAAGATGACGACGATGATTTCAAATGCTAACTGGACAAACTCAAACGCTGTGCCATACCTATGTCATGATCAGTAGTAGAAGTAGTAGTAGTAATAGTAGTAGTGGTAATATTAGTAGTAGTAGTAGTGGTAGCAGTAGTATTAGTAGAGATCGTTTCATTCTGATCATCATCCTTTATGCCGACGACACAACAATCTTATTCCAAAGTCCCTTCTTAGAAGATTTCAGCGCGCTAATTAATCATGAATTGGCTTCTTTATTTGAATAGTGTCATATAAATAAACTACAAATAAATTATAATAAGATTTTTTTTTATAATATTTGGTCTAAAAGTAATCACCAGTCAAATTAACCTTAACATATATATTAATAACATTAATGTTAATAGAGTTGAAAGTATTAAATTTCTAGGCGTTAAAATCAGGTCCGATCTAACCCAACTAATCATATAACATATATATATATATTTATTTATTTATTTATTAGGAAGCCAAACAAATGTCTTTAAAAATCTCAAAAACAATTGGTATTATAATAAAATTAAGACGTATATACACATTTCATGTTGTTAAAATGATTTATTATTCCGTAATATATCTCTACCTGATATACAGCCGACCCATGTGGGATAACAATCCCAGTTGTCATTAATAGTGAAGTGCAACTATATTTTTAAGAGTTCTTTATGGATTGAAAAAAAAATTGATCATGCATCACATTTTCTTTGAACTAAGTAAGATTCCAACAATAGTTAATTTATACAAATTTTATTTACTGTCATTTATTTACAAATTAAGTCCTACCTCGGGGAACCTGGTCTCTGGACGCAAAACGAAGATTGATTCATTTATTTACAAATTATATATTTTGAATGTCTCTCCTATAACGCATTTAAAACAATTTCAAATTTTAAGTCTACCGTTAGTTTTCAATCTAGACATAGATTTGAGTTCTACTTGCCTGTAGTAAGGACAAAAGTTCTCAAAAACAGTACTTTAATGACAGACCTCAGACTATGGAACAAGCTTCCAAGTGATAGCCAGCGGTGTAACTGCTTTTCATGTATTTAATGTAATTATATCTGATACTATTTGATCTTTATAGTTTTGTGTATTTCTGTTTTTGTTATTCGAATGTTCTCCTTGTCTTCAGACATACTTTTTAATTTTGTAGCTTCATGGAATAAGTGAAATTTTCTATGTTTAATTAATTGGTTAATTTACTCTCTTCCGAATATCGATTAATTAATCTTTTTCTGTGAGAAAATGTGAAAAATTTTTTGACAGATTCATTTACATTTTACTTTCGATTAAGCAAACTCGTTTACTCAATAATATTATATTTAGTTATTTATTATTCATTATTTATATTTTCATTTCGTTTATTTACTATTTTTATTTCTTTATGTTTGTTGATCGCAGCACAAGCCTTGCTGGCTTCTGGTTTTTTTCATCAATAAAATGAAAGGAATTGAAAAATCGTCATCGTCATGATTTCTAAACCGTATCATCACTATTATTTGTTATCAACATTGCAATTAGCAAGCCTAATCCTCATCATCATCATCATCACCCTTCATAATTATCATTATCATCATCATCACCGTAATTATCATCACCATCGTAATCACCATCAGCATCATCACTACCATCATCATCATCATCACTAACATCATCATCATCACTACCTGAGCAATTTTACACTCTTCATATGCCAGGAGGAGACCATTCCCCCACAGACAGGAAACTCCGTCAGCAATCTTGATAATGATGTCAATCGTGGTGGCGGTGATGATAATGATTAAGATATTAACTGAGGCTTTGATTACAATGATGATGATGATGATGATGATAATTTGATGATAATTTGTAATGATGATGATGATGATGATTATGAAGCAACAACAGCAGCAACAACAGCTGCAGCAGAAACCAACCTAACAATGCACAACAGATCGATGTTAGCATTATAGAGAGAAAAATCGATAAACACGGCTCTGGTTGGTCCATACTCCAGCCAATCGTATCTCTCCAAATTTTCAAGGTCATATTTTGAATATTCATAAGTTGTATTCAGGTCGTGTACGTAACCACCTTCACTGTAAGTAGCTATACGACCGGAAAAGCTGCTTAAGCTGCTGCCCAACTGATCAGCTGACTGGTAGAACCAGCTGTTTTAGAAATCAATAATAATGGTGATGATGATGACATCACTTAGTGATCATGAATAAAGGAAGGTTAATGAATGAAGGAAATAAGAGCTGTGCGACGATGATGAGGAAGAAGATGATGATGATAGCATAGCAATTGTAAGTAAGCAAAACTTCAATGGTAATGATGATGATGATGATAATTAGAACGATGATGATGATGAATAATAAGAACAGACAGACAAACAAACAAACAAACAAACAACAACAACAATAATCCTAATACAGACGAAGAAACAACAACAAAAAAGATAACGATGATGAATGATAAAAACAAAATAAAATAAACAAATACGCGTTTGAATGGTCGGGTCCATAAATGGTCCGATCTTCTGCACTGTAAGAATAACCCTGGTAACAAGGGTACCCGTCGTTAGTACTCCCCTTACCGGTGCTGCCACCCCCGCCGTTGCTGTCAATACCGCTATTGTAGGTCGAGGCGTAGAGCTGTTTGGAAACTTTGCAGCTGCCATTTAGACTTCTTACCAGTCGCAATCTCGCTACTCCGAAAGGCTTGTAACCAGGTATCTCAGATGTTGATGATGATTGGGGAGATGATGATGATGATGGCGGCGGTGTTGATGATGATGATGGCGGCGGTGTTGATGATGATGATGGGGTTGTCAGTGATGATGATGTCGTCGTTGGTGTTGGCAATCCGGATTTGTCCGTTTCTGGGATCTTAGTTACTGGGACCATATTGTCCGGATAGAGACCGTTTAAAAGTGGGCCCTGAGAAAACTGGACAATGATGATGATGATGATAACGATGATGACCTAATTTATGATGATGATGACCTAATTAACAAAGAAGACACACAAACACATAAACACACAAGCACGCACGCGCATGCAAAAACACACATACCCACCTGATACCAATGTTTTATGACCTTCATATTTTTAAAGGTCACAAAGGGGTCACTAGGATGAACAGGAGAGTCCAGAAAGGTCATAGCCAAAGTCCTCGAAAAGTAAAAATCAGTTGGTGACGTCTTGCTGAAAGTCACTGAAATTATTATTGTCATTATTATTAATAATCATCATCATCATCATCTTACATCAGTAACTACAATATCTCACCGAAAGTAACAAAGAATAGAAAGATAACATAGATGACTAATTCTCTAATCAATAATCTCATTCTAGTGTCTTTGTTATTTTTAGTGTCTTCCATCTGGTTAGTGGCCCAAATTTCTTGACAATAAAAATAAATATTAATGTCTGTTATTATTTAATTTAATATAATTATTTATTATTATTAATCTTTTTTGTTGTGTGATTTTTTAAACATTAGTTTAATTTTTGCACAATACATTTAACAAAATAAATTCTGTTAAATTAATGAATTTATTAAAAATAATTAGATGAACCAATAAAATCTAGCTAGCTAAATAACATTTTAAATTTTTAATAAAATATTTGAATATAAAAAACTGAGTAAAATAATTTATATAATTAATAATATTAAAATAATTTATATAATTAATAACATTAAGATTAAAATAATTTATATAATTATTATTTTTCAAATAATTTATATATATAATTATAATATAATAATAATTATTTAAAAAATCTATCCCATCCTTAAATCCCACTAACTCCTAATCAATGATAATCCCTTGAGGCAGCACCATTTTATTTTCCCACCGAAACAACAATCTCCACCGTCTTCTCCACCACTGTCAGCCCCATGCTGACCAGGATCCCTTACTTGACGATCATCATTTTCAACGATTATTTCGTCGATAGGTGAACCGGCCGGACGAACGTTGCCAACTTCAAACTCGTCTCCCCAAGTACTGCCGGACGATACAGATGAGGATCGATCGATTGGCATTGTCGTACTCCACTGTTACTGGCTAACTAATGAGTCTCAGAAACCTCTCAGAGGCAACCAACAATTATTCAATTATTCGCTTATTTAGCAATTATTTTAATAGATTGTGTTTTAAAATTCGCCATTTTAAACGAATTATCGTAAAATAAAACGGTTAAAACTTCGATTAAAGTGTTTTATTTACAACTTATTAAATCTAAAAAACAAAGTAAAAATAAACCCACAACAAAAAACTTTTTGAAATTAAGTAGATGTTTAGCATTCGAATTTAGATAAAATAATTATGACAATTGAAGTGATACCATGGTATTTACCATTGATTTGCCAGGTATTGTCAAGTTATCGTCGAATTAATTGCATGGCTTATACAAATGAGTAGTATTAAACTCTAAAATAACTTGAAACTTTGAAGAACATACATCTGACATTTTAATGTACCACAAATAAGTAGCAGACGTGGAAAAAACGCGTTATACAATATCCATGTTTATGATATACCAGAATATCATTGTACTCGCCACGACTCGGAAGAGGATACAGTATCAATCATCTTCTGCTATATCATTGTGTTATTTCAAATGAATGAATGAATGAATGAATGAATGAATGAATGAATGAATGAATGAATGAATGAATGAATGAATGAATGAATGAATGAATGAATGAATGAATGAATGAATGAATGAATGAATTCGAAACTTTAAAAATTTACTTGCTGCCTTTGCGTTCATTTGTCAGTTCTCGTTTATACCTATCTATATCAATCATAAAATCATTTATAAAATAATTAAATTATAAAATATTAACTCATAATACTTGTATTAGTATAATGGTTAAAAACACGAGGTTTGGCGTTGATTTGTCATGAATGGGGTTGGAGCTGATGTTACGGTTCCTGCTAACTGACTAGTAGATACATATCTGTTAAAGTAACCGGATTCTATCGCGTCTTTATCCAGGCCTTTTGAGATGATGAAATTTCAGAGTTATTTCACTAAATATGTTACAGTAACGGTATAAGTAGTACAAAGTAGTAATTAGTAATAGTTTTGTAAAAAAAAGTAAAATTTTCGTACCAATAAATGAAAAATGGTAGTATTTATAACTATTAAATGTAGAAATAAAGTAGGTTTTAGTCATGGTTTTAGTACTTATCTGTAATTTTTAGCTAATACTAAGTAACGTTGTTGTATTTTCGTATTAATAATGGGTAACATCATGGTAATCGTAAGTAATAATGAGTAATTTTGTAATGATATGAAGTAATATTGAAGAAATAATAAATTTTATCGTAATATTGCAGTATTTATGAGTAAGATTGCAGAATTTATGAGTAGTATTGCCGTATTATTAAACAGTACTTTAGTTTTAATGAATAATTTAGAATTATAAATATAAATACTTTATAGACACATATATAGAATATACTGAGATTATATAGAATATACTCTATATATATGTATATAGACTTAAGAAATAATTGGCAATTTTCATACAAAATTATTGATTCTATGGTCTATTTATTAAAAGTTAACTTCGATAATAACATTAGCAGGTGATCTAATTTTTGTACCTGCCTACGTATCTAACTATTCTCTGGACCCCCTCTTTTAGAATCTGTTTGGGCAAGGACAAAGGATAGTGTTACTGTTAATGGTTAGATTTCATAAAATAATTAATAATAAGTAAAAATAAAAGAATTAATTAATTGATCAATCATAAAATAAAATAATAATCAATTAAAAATTAATTATTTTAACTAATTTTGACAAATTTAAAATCCAGTTAATTTAAATTTTATTAAAAACCAGAACGAGAATATAAAAAATTGACTGTCAAAAATATGGAGGCTTTTGTTGCCTATTGTCATGATTTAGATTTGTTGAGGTAAGAAGGTTTGATATTTAATAAATATTATTTATAATATTAGTTATAAACAAAATTTAATTAATATTAAATTAAATAATGATATATAAATACACAATCATTATTTTTGTTTTAAACATTAATAAAACAGCCCCAAAGATAAATGTCTTATAGCAACGACTGCCACAATTTCGGCTCTATGTGGATCATTTTTTCTGTGGAAAAAATTGAAAAATAATAAAAAATTGGACATCCACATGGATGGAGTTGTCTCACCTGGATTTGAAAAAGTTGCAGATGCATTTAGGTGGAAAAATTTTTCATTATTTTTTGTTATCTTATTTTATTTGTGTTTTTTTCACTGTTCTCTCTGGTATTTCTAAGAGTTTTAGACAACAATAAAAGCACACTATGTGTAAAAGTAAATCTAAATTATAAATATACATGAGATTAATATAGCCACAGACACACACTTCATGTGATAGTTGGGGATCGGTTTGCATTCAAACGTGGTTACAGCATCATCGGGACCATGCACCTTATCTTATTCTTTATATGCCATCTTGCCGTCAATTAAATTATATAATTATTAGGAAAAATCTAGAGACTGGCTGGGAAAAAGGCGGGAATTTTTCCGCTTATTACAATGGAAATTTGGTCGTAGACCTTTGGGGAGGTTTCGCTGATGAAGAAAGTTTGAAATTGAGGAGAGAAGATTCTACATCTCTGGCTTTTTCTGCTACCAAGGGTGTTGTGGCTATCTGCATGGCTCACCTGGTTGAGAGGTATTCATTTTTGTATAAGATAATGGTCTCATCTTGTCTCTAGTCTTGTTTCTAGTCTTGTTTAGTCTAGTCTGGTGTAGTCTAATTTAGTTCAATTTGTTTTAACTGTAATTTTATTTATTTCCTTTTTCTAAAGAGGATATCTTGATTACAAAAAGACTGTAGCGACTTATTGGTCGGAGTTTGCTCAAAATGGAAAAGAGAATATAACAGTAGAGATGCTTCTGAGTCATCAGGTTGACACAAACTTCAAAAATTATTTTTCAAAATTATTTTTTAAATGTTTTATAGCTTTTATTTAATAATATCATGTTGCAGGGAGACCAGGTTGGAATGCGAAGTGATCCTTACCTATCATACGCAATGTGTGTGTGTGTGTGTGTGTGCGTGCGTTCGTATGTGTGTGCGTGTCACTTCTGAGAATTAATTAATTAAAAGAAGGTTAAGAATAATAATAAAAAAAAATAATTATTATAATTATTATTTAATTATTTCAAAATTCTAGTCAGGACTTTATTTTATTAGCGGAGGATTTGATTTCTCTATGATAATGGATGACAATGAAAAGTTGGAGCGTCTGCTTGCCGAGCAAAAACCCATGTGGAAGCCAGGTGCTTAATGATGATGACGACGAAGATGACGATAATGTTGATTATGATGACCAGGCGACTAATGGTGAAGATGATGACGAAGACGACAACCATGGTGATGGTGATGATGGTAATAATATTAGTAGTTGTAGTTGTAGCAAACTAGTAGCAACTGTAGTTCAGTTGAAGCATTGGCAGTAAGAGTAATAATAATAATAATAATAATTTTACCAGGAACTAAACATGGCTACCACGCAATGACCTTTGGCCTCTACTGTGACCAGCTGGTCAGAAGGGTCGACCCCAAACGTAGAACTCTCTGGGAGTACTATGAAGAGGAGATCGCCATTCCGTTTGGTACGATGACGTCATAATAATAATATTTCTACTACCACTGCTACTACTACTACTACTACTGCTGCTGCTGCTTATGTCGCTACAGATGCTACTGCTTCTGCTACTACTATTACTACTACAAATACATTATAATATTAATTATTATTATTTTTATTGTGACGATAAATATCAAAAACAGTAATGACGTATTTCTTCCTCACCACCGTAAACAAAAAACATAGATATCGAGTTCACCATGCAAGAGAAACTGGAAAACTTCTACAAGGCTTGCAGACACGGAAGGGCGAATTTTGGCTGGGGCTTTACCCTCTTCAGGACCTTGCCAGTCATGCTGGGATACTGTTTCACCCTTTTGTGGTACTACATCCAGAATGGTAAGATTTACATGAGGAATTTATTCGGAAATGTTAGGGACCTTGACGTACGTAGTATTGGTTTACCCTTTTATATGTGTTTTTTTGGGGTTGTATTGTTTTACCTATATGGGGTATCATGTGAAGTTTCTACATAAGGGGCTTATTTGGTGAACATTTGGTGCCTTTGTAGCATAGTGGAATGCATTTTTTTAATTTGTTTCTATTTTTTTATTTTATTTTTGTTTTAATTTGTTGGCTTTTAGCATATTTTTGTTTAGATATAGTGTAATAATCATAATTATAATTTTAATATTTTTAACAACGATAAAATATTTACAACATCAACAGTACAAAAGGTTCAACGACCCCTACATTAGAAACATACCCTGCGGCTCTTCCTCTGGCGTGGGCACTGCCAGGGGTCTGGCCAAACTTTATGGCATCCTAGCCAATCAGGGGCTACTACCCGATAGCTCAAATGACCTTTTGACCTTTAGTAAGGACCAGTTATCTGATGTCGAAATAGCCGAAAATTTTGTTGTTAATTTGCATAGACCGCAGGATGGAAGTTCTGGAAAAATAGTTTGTGTGTTTCGTCATTGGTGGATTATTTATTCATCGCCTCGTTAATGATTGGCTTATAATTTAAGGTTTTAATTTTTATAGCGCTTTACATTCGTTTGGGTTCTGCTTTACACAAAGGCACGGATGGCATTCTTTACATATTTGCAAACCAACGTAGTTGTGGATATCTTTGAATTTTAACACAAAACAGAGAACTTTATTTGGCTTACTATTATAAGATATATTGATTGATTTATTCAATCATTCATTCGTTTATTCATTCATTTCAAATTAAGCTGTTGAAACCGGAAACGATAAACTTGTTGTCGGAACAGCTGACCGAAGAAAGAGACCACGTTATCGTCGCCAAGTTACCGTTTGGCAGAGGAATGATGGTGGATTTTAACTACAGAAACAAAAAAGTAAATTTATTTGTTTTCTTTGATTTTTTTATTTGGATTTGTTAATGCATATTCAATGCACGCATGTGCACTTGCTTGTTTAGTCTTAGCTATCGTAACTATGGAATCAGTTTTTTATATTAAAAACTAATTTTAAAAATTCAAAATCACTTACAGTTAATTGTCTCAAATCGCCGAATTCAAATGAACAACCTTAAAAAAATGACATAAAATTTGTTTGATCTATAATCTACAAATAAAAACACCAGAGATTAGTATTCGGGCACATGGGGGCAGGTTGCCAGGTGGGTCTCTGTGACCCCAAGCTCAAAATCGGGTGGGCCTACCTCACTAATTATGCCAACCCCTTCTACGGCCTTGACAACGTTGAAATGAGGTTTGTTTTTTTTCTATTTTTTATGAAAGATTGCATAAATAAATAATTGTATTATTGTTGTTGGTATAATTATTTTGAATTATTATGAATTATTATTTTTAATATTATTTTTTCAGGTATGACCCGCTCGAGAAAGCCTTATACGAATGCGTTGAAAATATAAAGGATTATAAAATCATGTAATAGTAGTAGTAACAGCAGCCGAAATAGTGGTAGTAGCAGTAGTAACTTTGACAGCTTCAGCGGCGCTTGCTTTGAAGCTACTAAACTTGGGTATAAGCATTTGGGCGGATCTTTTACTAACTTTAAAATGTGTTTTTAAGCCCAGTTGAATTTTTTAGAAATTAGATTATATAAATTTGATTGATTGATTTCTCCCTGATTCTGCATGTCACTTCAAGCCCAAAACCATCGGTCTTATACTCAATTATGCTCATGTTCAAGTTATTTTTGTGTTTTTATTTACAAAATAGATTATTTTATTGATTAAAAAAATAAAAATTGAAACACCTCCATTTATTAAAATGTTATAGTCAATATCAGTTGAAACCCCTCTACTACTGATGTGTTCGTTTCTTATTGAAGCTTCGTCACTTGAAGCGTCAGACCAACGGGTCCTATACCGCTCATATTCAAATTATACGGAAATGATTGTTTTATTAATTCGTTAAAAAATTATAAGCCAAAAAAGTTAAAGATGCCATATTACTCGATGTCAAATTCAATAAGACACCGATAGCACCGAACGAAAGATTTTCAACTTCTATACTGGTTCGATTTTAATAAAATTTGTTTTAAAATGTATAAGAATGATTGATTATTGAAATAATGACAAGTAGTTTTTGGGCAGTGGTTATTATAAGTAGAGTAAAATTTCAAATATTATAAAAAAAACACCAGAGGTTGGTATTTGGGCACGTGGGGGGCGGAAGGTCAGATGAGCCTCTGTGACCCCAAACTCAAAATCGGCTGGGCCTACCTTACTAATTATGCCAACCCTTAACACGGTATTGACAACCTCGAAATGAGGTTTGGTTCTTCTATGCCTTATAATTAATTATGCAAATAATTATAAGAATTATTGTTATTATTATTATTACAAATTATTATTGTTAATATTATTATTACAAATTATTATTATTGTTTCAGGTATGACCCGCTAGAGAAAGCTCTATACGAGTGTGTTGAAAATACGGAGGATAATAAAATCATGTACTAGTAGTAGTAGTTGTTGTTGTAGCAGAAGTAGTTGTTGTAGTAGTAGTAGAATTAGCAGTAGTAGCTTCAACGGCTTCGGCGGTGCTTGTTTGAAGCCATTTGAAGTACTCGGCTTGAGTCTAAGCACTTATGCATACCTTTTAATAACTTATAAATGTGATTCCGAGAGAGAGAGAGAGAGATTGATTACAAGATTGAAAGAGTGAGAGAAAAAAAAGAATAAAAGAATATTATGTCAAAATGATTGTCATTTGTATACTTTTTTCGTTTTGATGTTATCGATCGTTGTATGAACACCATTTTTTGATTTGATGCTTTTATACGATTACTATTTTTGTTCATCCATATTTTGGATTATATATATGTATAGAGAGAGAGAGAGAGAGAGAGAGAGAGAGAGAGAGAGAGAGAGAGAGAGAGAGAGAGAGAGAGGAGAGAGAGAGAGGAGAGAGAGAGAGATACTACATGGCTCTCTCGAAAATTTTATGCAAATTAGTTTTGAACGAAATAAATTAAATAAATAAATTAGAAAATATTTTTTTAACTTCTCAAAATCTCGACTCTTGAATTTTAAATAAACTTTCACTCTGATTTCGGAATTGTGTTTATTCAGTTGTTATTGACAATATTATTATTATTATTATTATTATTTATTATTCATTATTATTATTATTATTGTTATTTCTTTCTAAATCTAATTTAAATTGCTTTTTTCACGAATTAAACACTCTTTTGCTAAATCTGCATTTACTTTTTCTGGTCCTTTTCTCTGGAACTCTCTACCTCCTTCTCTGACTACTTCTCCATCACTTACGAAGCTCAGAGCGGATCTTAAGACCCATCTGTTTGCAAAATTCATTGAGGAGCGCTGTTGAACATCGCGGAAATAGCGCTTTATAAACTAATTGATGGAATGAATGAATGATTGATTGATTGATGGAATGAATGAATGAATGATTGATTGATTGATTGATTGATTGATTGATTGATTGATTGATTGATTGATTGATTGATTGATTGATTGATTGATTGATTGATTGATTGATTGATTGATTGATTGATTGATTGATTGATTGATTGATTGATTGATTGATTGATTGATTGATTGATTGATTGATTGATTGATTGATTGATTGATTGATTGATTGATTGATTGATTGATTGATTGATTGATTGATTGATTGATTGATTGATTGATTGATTGATTGATTGATTGATTGATTGATTGATTGATTGATTGATTGATTGATTGATTGATTGAATTATTATGTTCACATACCTGCTATGCAAAAATGTACCCCGATCATGAAGTAATCAACAGTTATTTTTTGCTTAATTGTTGTATTATATATATATATATATATATATTTGATTTATTTATTTGTTTTGTTTAATTATTCCAATTTTAATTATTTATTTCGTTTTGTCTTATAACTTCACAGAGATTTAGCCGGTTGTTATATATATATATATTTTTTAAAATAAATTTTAAAATGAAAAAAATTACTTAGAACATTAAAATTCAATATTAAACGTAATTGAAATTTGTGTGTCTGTCTCTGTGTGCGTCTGTCTGTGTGTGTGTCTGTGTGTGTTTGTTTTTGCGTGAGTGTGCATTTGTGTTTGTGTGTGTGTAATCGTGTATTTATGAGTGATTTTTATCGTGTTGGAAAAATTTTTGTTTACGTGTATAAACAAATGAGTTTGTACCACTACTAACTACTACTACTACTACTAGTAATATAGGGCTGCTACTACCACTACTACTATTACTAGTAGTCGTAGTAGTAGTGGCAGCAGCAGTAAGTACTATTACTGCATCTGTTGTGCGTGTGTACGTGTAAATACATTGTTGAGAAGATAGTTTCAAGAGGTTAGTGAAGGATGGTTGTATGTGTATGTGTTTGTTTGTGTGTGTGTGTTTTTGTGTGGTGTGTGTAATATATATAATGAGTGTTTGCGTGCGTGTGTGTAATATTTATAAAAAATGATCATCTTCTTACTTAGCAATCATCCTTTTACCGAAACTAAAAGCTAGGGAATTTTGAATTCGGAATGTGTTTATGTATGTATTTATGTATGTGTGTGTATGTATGTATCTACGTCAGTAAGCCAATTACGGAATTTTAAATAATTCTAGGTGCAAAAGATGCTGTCTGATTGGTTGACATAGGCAGGTGTTTTATGTCAATCATAAATATTAATTCGTCTATTTGATATACACGTGTCTGTATGAATGAATGTATGTTTGTATGTATCTATATATGTAACAATCAATAAATGTATGTATGTATGTATGTATGTATGTATGTATGTATGTATGTATGTATGTATGTATGTATGCATGTATGTATGTATCTATAAATGTATCTATATATGTATGTATGTATCTATAAATTAAAATTGGAATTTGATGCATACTTCTAAGTAGAACTTTTTAAACTCTTAATAAAAGGATTATATAATTTACAATTTTAAACAAAAACTAATTACGTTATAAAATTTTAATTGATAATAATACCATTAATTATAATATTAATAATAATAATAAACTGAATTGCTACTAAAATGTTTTAATAATTTAAAAAAAATTGAATTCTTATGTTTCGACTTTTGGAGGGAACAATTTGGCGCGTGTTTAGCAATTTAGCGCGAAAGTTTTTGCCGCGAAAAGGTGAGTTTCGATTTAATCAGTCAATCTTCTAGAAAAGTTTAGAATAGAATGTTCATAACTGTTACACGCTGTAACCCGGTTCGAAAGCATGAGTATTACACCAGGAACCGATAAGAATAAAACGGTGTAGCACGCATACAAATCGGTTGTACACATACATGCATGTACGTAAACTTGTGTGTGTGTGTGTGTGTGTGTTTGTGTGTATGTACATCTAAATAACTCGGTGTCTTGTGTAATCTTCAGCGTTTTCTAAGCCTTTGCAACAGATATCAATTTACCGAAATATTCAAAAATGTTTAAATTTAATTTAAATTTAAATATGAAATTAAAATGTTTAAATAAATAGATTTATCTGTTTATTTATTTAATGTAATTAAATATATAGTTGAGAAAAGTTTTAATTAATGGAATAAGAATAATAACAACGGCTTATTATTATTATTATTTTTTCTATTTAGTTTGATTATTTTAATCTAAAAAAACAGCTCTCTGAGTTGAAATCATTGAACAGATTTTTCGATTTAAAAAAACAAATGAAAGAAACATGAAAAACAAATGAAAACACACACACACACGCACACATACACACTAACACACACACATACACATACGTCTACATACACGTACACACACATATAGGCGTACGCAGACATACATAACACACACACACACACACACACACGTACATACAAATTGCTAGTAATACACTGTAAACATCTTAAACGAAATACTGTTGAGTGTCATCGAAAATTCATTTTTGGAGTGTTGTAAATACACACACAGACACACACACACACATTTGGAGTGTTGTAAATACACACGCACACACAGACACACACACACACCACACGCACACACACACACCACACGCACACACATACAAAAGCGCATACATAGATATAAAAACACCATAAAAAAAAATAATATAAATTTTTCAAACGCGCAATGTCAGAATTAAATTCTACTTAGTTAAATGCAAGACTACAATGACACGCAAAAACAGAGCAGGATAAAAATTTCTATTCTGAAGTATACCAAAGAAAAGTAAATTTTTCCTAAAATCCAGCGAAGAATAAATAGCGTGAGCGTTATTACAGAGGTTGCCATGGCTACAGAAGCAGAACTCAAAGACTGTATATCGAAAAACTTTCACGTGACACGTTTTTGTATTTCCGGGTGAGACATCCAGACATCCACGGGCAGTCATTCTCTTGTTAACTTGATTGATTGGTTGATTTTGAGTGTTTGATTTGATTGGTTGGTTGATTTGGAGTGTTTGATTTGATTGGTTGGTTGATTTGGAATGTTTAACATGATTGGTTTGTTGATTCTGAGTGTTTAATTTGGTTGGTTTTTTGATTTCAGGTGTTTGATTGGTTGGTTGATTTGGGTTGTTTGATTTGATTGGTTGGTTTATTTTGAATGATTGATTTAATTGGCTGGTTGATTTAGAGTGTTTGATTTGATTGGCTGTTCATTTGATATAATTGATTGGTTATAAAATTATTGGTTTTGCGAGCTTGTTGGCCGATCGATTGATTAGGATCATTTCCTGATTAAATTGATTGGCTGAAGTGATTGGAGTGTTTAATTTGGTTGATTTGATTGGCTGACTGGGTTAGTTAGCTGGTTGACTGATCATCATAACCATCATCATCACCACCACCACCATCATCATCATCATCATCATAACCATCATCATAATTATCATCATAACCATCATCATCATCATCATAATTATTCTTGCTGCCACCACCAGCCACAGCAGCGGCAGCTTCAAAGTCGTCGCCATAACTTACTACTGTGTGGTTGCATCTTCACTTTTAGGCAGCCGTGCGTGCAGTAAACCACCTTATTGGCTGACACTGGGCCCTAGGGCGTTATGATGATGATGATGATTATGATGTTGATTATTATTGTTGTTGTTATTATTATTCACCAACCCATGCACATTCGTTTGTATACGGCCTCCTACATTCATCTAGCGTTTTATTTTCCTGTGGAGAAAAAAAATCAACTTCACCACCCTTCACCACCATCGTCATCATATTCTGCATTATCAGAGCCACCACTATCATCATCATCATCATTATCACCATTTTCATCCTCCTCGCTATCATATTCATCACCATCATTATCATCACCATTCTACTCCTTCCAACTCGTCATCACCATCATCATCACCATTCTACTTTTCCTCGTCATCATCATCATCGTCACCATCATCATCATCATCGTCGTCACCATCATCATCATCATTACCTGCAGGCACATGTAGAGTTCGAAGTTACACTGATAACACTTTAACCGATTTACAGATGAAACTCTAGCCGCCAGAGTTCTAGAACTCCTCTCACTAAAGATAGTGAGCAGGAGGAAGATGGCGAGTGGAGGAAAGAGAGCACGGCTGATTGCGACCATGGAGTAAAAGAATAGATTGAGTGATGAAATGATGGGACGAATGATGATCAAGATGAAGTAAATGAATGAAGGAGAGATATTTGAGAGAGAGATGATAAAAAATTTGATTGGGAAAAGTGAGAGATTGATTGAAAAAGTGAGTGCGGAATTTGCGAATAAAACGTGTGAGATATTGATGAGAAAAGTGACGACGACGACGATGATGATGATGATGATGATGATGATAGTGGATGAAAAAAACTGATAGCGACAGATGACGTCGCGAAAGATAGTGAATAAAAGAGAGGGAGCGTAGCCAATAGGAAGGATGATGACGATAATGACCGGGATGATATCCAGAGAGATATTGAGGAGATAAGAGAGGGTTTGGCCGCGGCCGATGTTCTTAACGTCTAAGATAGGGACTGTGACGTCATAGTTGTAACTGCGATTAAATGGCGATGGCGGAGCTGACCGTGACGTCATTTTTATTATTGTTGTTATTATTATTTCAGTTAGTAGTGGGAGGAAAGATTCGTAGTGATGAAACATGGCGAGAGTGTTTTTGTTTACGACTTTTCTTATTTGTTTACTCTGTTTAGTTTCTTTGTTTTTGTTCGCTTTGTTTGTTTAGTTTCTATGTCTTTGCTCGCTTTGTTTGTTTAGTTTTTTTGTTTTTGTTTGTTTTCGTTCATTTGTTTTATGCAGATAACAAAGATATTAAAAACATTTCAAATATCGTATCGAAAAAACTACGCTGTGATATCTTTCCTATTAAAAACTAACAACTGATTATTAAACCATTAATGTACGTATGAATGAATGAATGGTTGGTATGAATGAATGAATGAATGAATGGTTGGTATGAATGAATGAATGAATGAATGAATAAATGAATGAATGAATGAATAAATTATTTAATTAATATATAAAATATATATTCTTTACTTTATTACGTAACCATTTTTCTTGAAGCGTAACAATTTAACAATGCTAGGGTAACAATGCTAGGTTCAATGTTATATCTAACACAATAAAAACAATAATTATTAATATGAATGTGTATAAAAGTATTAAATAATAATAATATATATTGTTAATAATATAATTATTGTTTGTTATAATTTTTCGACCGACCCTGTCAAATCCAACCCAATAAAAATCTCATTCCACGTTGTGTCTATTGTTTCCATGACCGCCCCTGCAACGTCTTCCTCCTCCTCCTCCTCATCATCATTATCTCCATCATCATCATCGCAACCTCCATCATCATTATTGACGTCATTGCCAGGAGTTTCTCTAGCGTCGTTGTTCCGGTTGCTCCGACTTCCTGGAGTGAGGATGACGATGCTGTTGTTGCAGTCCGCCATTTTGTTCCGCACCTCCGAAACTTCGAAATCAATTTCGTCAATCTTGTCTGGCTCGCAAGAGTCGGGCCCTTGGACATTTTCGGACCCGGAAAGATTTTTGGACCAAAAGATCCTTTCAGTTTCAGAGGTATTTTCGGCCCCAGCTACATTTTCCGAGTCGGAAACTTTTTCCGACTTACAAATATTTTTATCCTTGGGGATTGGATATACTGGATTTGAAAGAACGTCGAGATCCTCTCCATCATTGTTGTACGTTGTGAACCTAGTGCCATCTCTGTAGGTGTATTTTGGACTGCTGGATTTGAAAAAACCTAAAGATTTGATTTCATCTGGTGGTTGCTGTGGTTGCGCTTCTTGCGGCTGTTGCTGTTGTTGATGCAGATGTTGAAACTGATGTTGTTGTTGTGGTTGTTGTTGTTGTGGATTAGCGTATGGATGAAACTGTTGGTAGCAGAGGGCTTGTTGTTGCTGGTACTGCTGCTGCATGAACTGCTGGTAGTGGTAGTGGTTGTGGCTGTAGTGTGGGTTGTAGCAGTCTTGCTGGAAAACATTTTGAAGGTCGTGAATGTCTGAATGTTGATGATGTTGCTGTTGTTGGTCGTAGGCACTTTTGATTAGACATTCATCTTCAAATTGATGGAACGAATGATAAAAATGCTGCTGCTGCTGCTGCTGTTGCTGAAGTGGCTGGCAAAATTTTTCATTCACTTCAGTGCAAGGATCAACATTTGTTGTAGCGATAAAATTGCAGCCGTCATAGTCGCAGCAGATTTGGCAGTTCAAATTGTTACTGAAACAACCACAAATTCCAACACCTCCACTCTGGTACCAGCTTGCGACCGAAACTGGTTCCTGGTAGAAAAAATCTTGAGGGGGAAATATTTGTTCATTGTGACAGCAACCGGCTGCTCTCATTGTCAAATTCGCTGCGTTTTTTGAGACGGCTATATCGGATTCAAAGTTTTTCGGTACGTCAGGAGTCAGTTGAATGTTGAAGATTGAAGGCAGGAAAAGTTGTTGCGGTGTGCAAAATTGTAAATGATGCAAAAATGGCTGCTGTTGCTGTTGTTGCAGCTGCTGTTGCTGTTGTTGTTGCTGCTGATACTGGTGCGGTTGCTGATGAAAGTTTTGCTGATGATAATGATGATGTTGACTGGTCTGATGATGATTATGGTGATGATGTCGTTGGTGATGAGTTTGCATTTTAAAAGTATCTTGCTCGTCGGCGTCCTTCGAGTAGATGACCTTAGCGTATTTTTCTTTATCGTCTTGTTTGTGGGGTAACTCCGACTCGTGAAATTTTTGCGGATGCTGGAGCTCGTAAACGGCGTTGTCGTTGTTAGTTTGGTTAGCGTCGACAAAATTATTGTTGGTTAAAAACAGCTGGTCATGCTGATACCAAGTCGTAGTATTTGCAGGACTCGACTGGTACGCAGCATTTTGGGAACAAGAACATTCATCACGTTCTTCATTCTGTTGTAGCTGTTGTAGCGACTGCTGCTGCGATCGCTGTAGTTGATGTGGATGCTGAAAGTGACGTTCTTTGCCGTTGAAAGTTTGGAACTGATGCCTTAAATTATTTTCTGGATGAGATTCATATTGCTGGTAGTAGGGGGCATGGCAGTCCCTGTAAGTTTTGCAGGAGTATTTAGGTTCGAACTGGTATCTACGGCAAAAACAGTTGCAACACTTGGGGCATAAATGATTGCACTGCATTCTTTGCTTGCAGGCGTGGCAGCAGTTGAAGTTCCTCAAACGTCGTCTATGGTGGTTTGGCCGCAAGAAACAATTTCTCAGTTGATTGTGAGAAGAGTAACGATTTGAACCTTGACTCGTAGAACGTACATACTTGAAAGCCACTGAACCATTATTACAATCTTTGAAAAATATCTTGCGAGGTTTTCTTTTCCAATCCAAAGTTTTGCGTTCCGTAATTTTGACCGAAGCTGACTGTTCCATTTGTTCTTCGTTCTGGTTCTTTTCTTTGTTGGGGAGATTTTTCGCCACTTCAGCAATTATGTTAGGATCGCTCAAATAATTGAGTTTATTTTGTTTTAACTTTTTTATCAGTTCGCTTCTACTGCAATTTGTGACTATCTTCAAGTTGGCCAGATCTTTGCACTTCACATCGCACGACTTATTTTTAAGCCTATTTTTGTTTCCGGCTTTCTTATTTTTAAAATTGTGAGGTCTTGCGCGATATCTCTTGAAATTTTTGCACTGCCGCAGAACGTAATCTCTCCATCTTTTATGAATTTTAAACCTATTTCTCTTCCATTTCTTAACAGGGATATTCTTAAGCTTCGTAACATGAAAACTGCTTGAAGTTGCACTTGTACTCTCGCTGAAGTCTCCGCAATGCTGCTTGCAACGACAGTGAGAGTGGCCACATTGCCAGATATTGTTGCGGTATTTATGTTGTGGGCAGCAACAGCGGCAGCAACAGCAGCAACAGCAGCAACACAAATTTTCATTTTTCCAGTGTTGTATATGACAGTGATTGCAAAGTTGTGAGCTACTGTTGCTGGACGGCGTGTTCACATTGCTCGGATAGAGCAATAAAGTTTTCGATTCATCTTCAAAACCTCTATTTACCATTTCTTGATTTTTAATGATTTGAAAATTCCCTGTTTCAACTCCATTTACGTAGCGCCCATTGTCTTGGATGTTTTCGGAAAAACTAGCGTTGTCGATTTTTTCATAATTGTTCGAAAGCAGGATAAGATTAAGAGGACACGAAGACTGTCTGCTGTTAATTTCGTTGCTAAAACCATCAAAAACTCCTTTAGGGTTCCAATCTTCTTCCAGACTATACTGCGAGGCTTGCTTGTGCAGTTCCTTGCACCTAAAATATGCTGTGTCTACTGAAAATGTTGAGTTGTTAGGACAAGAATTTGCTCTAGAGACAGTTCGAACGCATTCATTGCATGGATCTTCACTGATTGTGTTTGGCTCAGACAGGCAGAACATTATTTTGTCAATCAATTTTTGAAACTTCTAGTGTATAAATGTCTTATTTATTAATTAAATTTGGTTAGTTATTCATTTTTCATCATTTTAAAAATTATATCTAAGCGTTCTTTTACGTCTTACATGCAATCACTTGATGTTATTTTCTTGATATCTATTCGATGGATTAATTTACTTCATATTTTAATTATTTGTTAAATAATTAAATAAATGTTTTAAAATTTATTGAATCAAAATAAACAAAATTAATTTTCCGGATGTTAATTTCGATGTTGATAATCTTTGATTTTGTAATTGTGGTTGACGTCATTAAAGGGTGTGAATGGCAATATTATTGATTAAAACGTTATAGAGGTATTGAAAGATAACATGTAAAATTTTACAGGTTTTAGTGTTTTAAATTTTATTTAACCTATCAAAATTAAAGTTTTTATTATTTAATATTTTAAAATTAATATATTCATTCCAGTATCACAGGTTATTCCTTTAATCAGTATCCTTAGTACATGATCATTTTTACTTTAAGTTCACATTTAGCCAGTTTAAATTAAATTTACTTTTAATGCCCAATATTTTGCTTACGTTATTTACGATTGAAACTAGATAAATTCCCCAACTAATTAGTAGAAATTAGGGAAATTTAATTAATAAATTGGTAATTTTATTTTTGTTAAAAACATTTCAAACGAAAAATTTAATTTAATCGCAAAAAAATTTAATAAAAGATGACTTCCTCCAGTAGAAACAGTGAATCAGAGAAGTTAAAATTTTTTTAAAATTTTTAAAATAAATTTTTAGTTAAAAATTAAAATTAAGTTTAATAAAATTAAAATTTTATTTATTTTCCATATTAATGATTCACGCTTTTTTTACTTGTAATTATTTGAAATTGTATATAAATAAAGCTTATAAAATGATATGATGAAATTTCAAATAACTTTAAAGTTTAAATTAAAAAGTTTAATTTAAGAATAACAAATAATAACCTTTCATTTCATTAGATAGAATTAGATTAGAATGATTAGAAGAAAGAGTTATAGATAGAATTACAATTTGTTTTATTTAGATTATTATGGAATTATTAAATTAGGAAACATTACTTATTATACTTTTAAAATATAAAATCATTTCTATAACCACCTAATCACTAATCACACAGTCTTAAACAAAATATTAATTATCATTTTACTAAAAACATAAATTTGTACTAAATAATTCAACACAAAATAATAAATATTAATATATAAAATATGATATACAGATATACTCTTAATTGGATTCACTAATTGAGTGAAAAACTAAACCCACAATTTTGTACTAATTAAGTAATTAAATAAGTATAACAATTGTATACAGTACAGACAAGTCAATCTAATTATGCTAATTTGTTAGGTTTTAAATAATAATTAATTAGAGAGTATTACAATATTCTGCCAGCTTCACATTACAACATCAGACTAATCACATGTCTGTTTATAGTTTGTAACTGATTAGCCTCACATGCCACTAATTGAATTACTCTAATTTCACACACATACACACGCACGCACACATACACGCACGCACACATACATGCACACTAATCATTATTCAGATCTTGCTGGGTGTGTTTTGCTTCAGAGGACGACGACAGAGATGCGAAATGGGTTTGCCCTTGCAGATGTCGGGGGACTAGCAGATGGGTACATCATGCCTGTTTGCAGGTAGTATATATGTGTGTGTGTGTGGGGGGGGGTTGTTAATGTAATTTATCGAATTTATCGATAAATTTATGCAGAGGTGGATTGACGAGAAACAGCGAGGAAACAGTTCGACAAAGGTTTGCTGCCCCCAGTGCAACACAGAATATCTTATAGTTTTCCCTAAATTAAGTTAGTGAATTAGTGTATGTGTATTTTTCTGTATGTGTGTGTGTGTTTATGTGTATTTATCTTTTTGTGTGTATATATAGAAGAGACATACCACGTATATATATCGACCTTATGATTAATAAACTCAGGCTAAACTTTACAGATTCACATATGAACTTACATATAAATATAAACTCACAACTAACACACGCACGCACGCACACACACGCACACACATGTACACTTACTGACACGCACATACTGACACACACACACACACACACGCAAATGAACGCACGTATAGACAAAGCAGTATATCTGATGGACTTAGTGGACAAGGCCATATATAAGACATGTCCATTTGTGGCCGGGGGATTGTTTGTGGGCTCCGTCTATTGGACCGCAGTCACGTACGGGGCAGTAACTGTTATGCAGGTTTGTTGTTGATATTGATGTTGTTGTTGATTTTGCTGTCGTTGTTGTCATTGTTGATGTTTTTGTTGTTGATGTTTTTGTTGTCATCATTATCGCATCATCCTCTTCTTCTTCATCAACATTATTACAACATAGACAGGGTCGTTACAAGTTGATAAAACTTTTCCAGGTCTTGGGGCATAAAGAGGGCCTCAACGTAATGGAAAAGGCCGACCCCTTATTTCTCCTTATAGGCCTACCAATGGTTCCTGTGTCGTTAATCCTGTCGAAAATGATCCGTTGGGAGGATTTCATCCTGAAACTATGGAGGAAATACTCGCCAAAACTTCCGCTAATCAGCTACTTATTCTCCAGTAGCAATCCGTCAATGTCCCAGCGGATACCGGCGGATACTACGACCATGTCGGACCCACTTTCGGCCACCCGGATTCTCTGTGGGGCCTTGATTCTGCCCACTCTGGCTACCATCGTTGGGAAGGTTCTGTTCGGACAGGTTGAGTCAAACTTCCAGAGGACTTTGCTGGTTGGTTGTCGTTTGGGTGTTGGCTTGGTTTTTTTTAAGGTGGCATGTTTATTTTATTTGCGGTAATTCTTACGGCTTGTTTGCTAATTGATTGAGTGATCGATTGAATGAATCATTGATTGATTGATCAACTAATTAATAAATTATTAACTCCCTCCCTCTCTGTATTTACCGAATTCAGGGTGGTATCGCCTTCATAGCCATAAAGGGCGTCCTAAAGATCTACTACAAACAGCAGCAGTACGTGAGGCAGTCGGAACGTACCATTTTAAACTTTGAAGAGGGGTGTTCAGCATCCAGTAGTAACAATAATAATAATAACGGTAATAATAATAATAATAATAACGTCGGCAATGATGGTAACGATAACGGCGCCAATTATTGAATTGAACAGACGATTTGGAAATAATTTCTCTCTATTATTATTCTTGTTATTATTTTGTTATAATTATTGTTTTTATTTTATTGTTTATTATTAATTTTTTTTTTGTTATTATTGTTCATTATTTTAGTTATATAAATGCAAATTTTACTTTACCCTTCCCTGATTGGCCTGTTTTTAATAGATAGTTGGAAAAGATACTAAATAGCAAAGGATATGCGGCAAATGAGAATTTTTCGTTCATCCTCCTCTTCTCCTACTACGATTTACTATCTTTCTTTTTCCGTTATTCTCTATAATATTTTTCTGAAAAGAGCGCTAATCTTTCAATAAAAATTAATGTTAATATATTTTCAACGATAAACTAAAAACTGGCTAATACAATGATAATGATGATGATAACAATAATAAGAATAATAATAGTAGATATTATTATTATTATATTATTGTTGATGATGATTTTAATCAGTGTCACAAATAATTGACATGCTATTACTACTTATACTGCTTGTACTGATTACTAACCATTAATTTTTAATGGTGATATATATATATATATATATATATATATATATATATATATATATATATGTATAGAGTGAGGGAGAGAGAGAGATATGAAGAGAGAGAGAGAGGGAAAATGCGAAAAATTATTACATATGAAATTTATTCTTTCGAATAATTATTTAGAAAATGTTTTTAAAAGGTATACATTGAAACAGAATTAATAAATTCTAAAAATTTTTTTCATTATAAACAATGGTAAACTAATTGACACACACACTCACACACACACTCATATATGTATGTATGTATATATATATATATATATATATATATATAAAGGAACATATATACATACATACATATATATATATATATATATATATATTTCGTAAAAATTTTTCGATTTAATGATGTAACTAACTCGATAAAAAATGAAATTTGATAATAATACACACACACACACGTACGCACACATACAACACACACAGCATGGAATCAAGATATTCTTGACACACAGCCAATGTGTTGTGTAACACGGCCAAAGCCTATGAAGACTATTATTATGTTATATTGTTGTCATTATTCTATTCAGATTTTAGTTTGAATAAATGATAGAATAGATGAATGAGTAGATGAATGAATGAATTAATGAATGAATAGATAGATAGATGGGTGTTTATCGTTATATTAAACAATGGGTTTTATTATATATTTTTTACGGATATGTTTGTGAGTGTGTCTGCTTGTGTGTCTGTCAAATTTATTTCTGAAATTTATAAAGAAATGAAAATAAAATAAATTATTTTCAGGCAATAATGTTATCAATTAACTAATTAATTAAGTAAGTTATCGACCAGTTAATTAAGTCGGCGGAAAATGTTGAAATATAATCCAGACTCTGTCATTTAAAGAATAAAAATAATTTCCAATTGAAACCGAGAAAACGGTTACTTTGTTGCACCGAATGTTAGGAGAATTGGTCAAACTACAAGTTGCACATAGCTGCGGAAAATTAACTTTTCTCAAAGTTTCGGTATTAATGTTCCAAAGGGCCTCACATAGAAAGGGAGAGAGAGAGTGTGTGCGTGTCGTGTGTGTGAACGAAAGAATAGATACATAGAAGGAGAGAAAGAGAGAGAGAAATGTAAGTTTCATGACCGGAGCAAAACATTCTTTTCAAACTAGTAATGTTCGTGATGTTTCAAAAAGGCCCTCTTTAAAGGAAAAGATAAAGAAGAATCATTTAGAAAAAGAAAGTAAGATAGATAGAAGAGAGAGAAGAGAGAGAGAGATATGCCTAAGTTTCGTAACTAAGGAAAAAATTTCCAAAAATTCAGTAAAAATGCTTCAAAGGACTTTCTCTTGGAATATGCGATACTATAAGCCTTTCTTTTGGTTTAGCCTTGTTTCTCTGATGATAATATTCATAGGCCCCGCTGCCTTCCTTTCTACTTATGCCTCTTTCGTAGCTCTCCAGTAACATTCCAATCATTCTTTCTCTATTTTCTGGAGATAATAATTTAAAATAATTTATAATAATAATAATCGTGATGATAATAGTAGTAATATATTTTTATGTCACTGAAATGCCTGAAAGCTTTTTACAAGAGCGCGCGTGTTAATTTACGTGTGGAATGGAGAGTTTTACTTGGATTTATAGGAATTTAGTATTTTAAATTATAAAAATTATAATAATTTAATAATTTTCTTATCAATTGTAAAGAAATTAATAAGTAATATATATAAAAAATTAGGAAAAATGATTAAAAATTTACCTTTGTCGGCTAACTCGAGCTGAGCGTGACTATTGCTCTTTAACCGCTCGTATTTTCCAGCATATTTGGCGATACTTTCCATCAAACTGATGTTTTTATCTTCTAATGGATCCATCCGAAACATGCCTGGACTTAATCTTCTTCCTGTTGATTCATTTTCATTCAGTTCTTGTTCTTCTGTTGGAGGTGCTGACTCCATTGATGTGAAATTACTCGAGTTGTTCCAGTTGCTCGTTCTTGTGCTTCGACTGTTATGACTGGTTTTGTTTTTTAAGATGCTTTTCTGTTTTACTGGTTTATTTTTTGGCTTTGATAGTGTTGGTTTTTTAGGCTTTTTTTTCGGTTTTGATTTGGTTTTCGGTTTCGGTTTTGGTTGAGATTTTATCTGTTGCCTTTTCTTATCCCACTCTGTTTTTTTCTTTTTAGCTAATTTATAAATCGTTTTCAATGTGGTCATAGAGGAGAAACTGCTTTTTAGTTTTTTCTCATCTGCTGAATCAAGTTTCAATTTTGTGCTTTTTATTTTTACTGGTTTGGGAGGACTTTTTACAGTTTTTACTGGTTTGGGAGTTTTTTTTTTAGTTTTTACTTTTTGTGCAGCTTTTTTAGCTTTCGCATTTTGTTTCTCCCTCAACTCATCAACGAGTTTCTTAATCGATTCTGTCGTTTCAATTTCAGATAACTGCCTTCCTTTCTTTATTGGTTTCACTTCTTTGCTTTTTGGCTTCGGATTGCTTTCTTTGATCTCTAGAAATACAATCTTTTCTCTTATTTTGGGGTCTGATTTTTTCTTTTTCGGCGGCGACTTTTTTTCAAAAACGTCGTTGAATAAAATTCTTTCGGATGACGCATTCTCCATTCCCCCTCCAGTGGCGATCGTCTCCAAACTCTTGATGATGCGTTTCAGTTTCTTCCTATCAAGGGCATCTTTCATCTTCAACTTTTTGATCATTTGATTTTTAAAATCTGTGGACTCCCTTTCGTTGAGGCTGCTTTTAATGTGGGTTGTTGCCTGGTTGAGGAAGGGTGATTTGAAGTCAGGTTTGTGTTTGTTGGAAAATTTTTTAAATTTAATATCAACATCTGGATTTTTTGTTTTTTGGATTATTATACTCATTTTTGGATTTTGGCTTAGTTTTGATCCTGTTTTTATTTGTACTTTATCTGATCCGGTCGACGACGACGACGACGTGGATTTTTCTTTGGTTTGATTTTTTTGATGATGATTTTTTCTCTTTGAAAATGTTTTCGTCCTAATTCGTTCTCTTATTTTTTTTATTTTTTTACCTCTTTTTGGTTTAAACTCACCTAAATATTTTTTATGCCACCGATTGGCTGGAGAAGTGGACCGTTGTTCATTTGGCGTTTGTTGCTGTTGTGTGCTGATAGGATTTTGTGTTTGCGATAATTGCAAGGGTTGTTGTACTAATTTTAAGTGTTGTGGCTGTGAAACGTACTGCTGTGTCGCCGGGGTAGTCTCTGGCTGTGGCACTAGTTGATACGTCAGCTGTTGAGGAGCTGCCTGTGGTAAAATGTTGTTTGGCATCGTTGTTAGTTGAGGTTTTTGTAATTGTGGTTGTTGAAGTTGTGGTTGCTGCAATTGTAGCTGCTGTAATTGTGGTTGTTGTAGTTGTGGTTGTTGTAGTTGTGGTTGTTGTAGTTGTGGTTGCTGTAGTTGTAAAAAATTTTGAATAGACGGCTGTTGTTGTTCGTTATTAACTTTTTGTTGCAAATATGGTTGTTGTTGTTGGGGCTGTTGAATTTGAAAAGACGGTTGTTGCTGTTGTTTAGAAAATTTCAAATTTGGAGCTTGAAGCTGTGACGATGGCTGTTTTAACCGCGGTGTTGGCAATGGTTTCTTCCCTGTTAACTCGCGTTGTTCATTTAATTTGCCTAATTGTTTTCTATCGTCATATTTCGAATCGGCCTTCTTCAAAGGAACTATACTCGCCAAGATCTCATCACTTGAGAAACCGATCATTCTGTGTAAACTGCTAGGTGTCGATTGACGACTTGGAAATTTTTTCACCATCATGACCTTACTGTCATTTTTACGAATCTTCCTGACAGGTGTCACCAATTCAACTGACGAACGCACCCTTGTTAAACTTCTATCCGTGCGTCGGGTTCTAACATCTTTGTCATCCGTCACGATTGCATTGTTATTGTAAGAACTTTGAGTGTCGGAAGTTAGCGAGGAATTGAACGAGGAATTATTTAACGAATAGTTTATACTGACGATATCGAGGTGTGAAGCTCGACATCAACGAAACCTGAGTCGATTTTCGGGTCAGTTTTACCTTTGACCTTAGGGGTTTAGATGGGTCAAGATTTTTTCTACTATGTACACTTTTGTACTTTACTTTACTATGCACATCTTTTACACTTATCGTTTTTACTGGGGGTTTTATAGTAACTTTATCATTTGGATCATTTGCGTTTAGTGTACTATGAGGAACATATGTATTTAGTTTACTATTTGGTACTTTTGGACTTACGTTACTGCTATTCAGTACCTTCGAACTTATTGTACTGTACGGATCTTTCGATTTGCCGGTCCACAATCTAACCGGGTTTATTACGGTCGTGAGAGCTTCTGGCTCTTGGATCTCTGTCACCATGTACATGAAGGATGATTTCATTGTTGGGGAAGGGTTGCTAGGTAGGCTAGAAATATTTGAGTGAGAATTTAGGAGTTGGTATAGAATTATCTGCTATATTTTTTCTGATTTCATTTTATTTCGTTGGTAAGTTAACTATAGCGGACTAGCTAACTTGGTTGCATTTGACTGATGCGCTACCGGAAGAGAACGATGAACCTTTTTCATTTCATTTCACTTCATTTTATTGTTTGATCCGAAAAAAAATTTTAAAACTAAGTTTTTTAGCGTAGCTTTTTTAGTTAGGCGCACTCAGTGTATATATTAGTAGATTAAACCTTTATTTATTGTTAATATTATTATTTATTATTGTTATGATGACTATAATGTAGTATTTATACTATATTATTTTTAATTTAAGAAATTTATCAAAGTTGGATTTTTTTAAATATTTTATTTCTCCAAAAGATATTCGTGATTTAAAATTTCAAAAAAATAATAAAAGTATTATGAACCGAAGAGTGTATATATATGTGTGTCTGTGTGTATATTTAGTAAACAAAACACACCAAAGACATGAAATGAAAAGAGAAAAATAATATAAATAATTTTACGAACAACCAACAGCAACAGAAAGACAAAAAAAATTATGATTAATGATAATAAAGTTATAATAATAACAATAATAACAACAACAATAATAATAATAACAACAATTATACTGTCATTTTTTTAATTAATAAAAAGTTAAAACTCGAAAGCTGTATGTATCAAAATTGATCAGATCCAACATTGGTATGTATATATTTATATAATTTGATAAAATGTATATATATATATATATATATATATATATATATATTAAGAATGAATTTGATATGTAATTTTCATATATTTTTATATATATATATATATTGCTCAAAATAATGATAAATTTGTTCACCGTATAATAGTATATATATGTTTGTATGTGTGTGTGTGTGTGGGTGTGTGTGTGTATGTGTGTGTGTGTGGGTGTGTGTGTGTATGTGTGTGTGTGTTTGTGTGTGTGTGTGGGTGTGTGTGGCAAAAAGCAAGCAAAAGTCAATACAAAATGATGTCTTAAACGGAATGGTATTTAATTTACATTTTGGTTGGCAAGAGTGTCTGGCTGGTAATTTTTACTAGAAATTATGATAGTCACACAGAAACAATTATTTTGCACATTGTTGCGTGATACAAAAATTAAAATAAAAAAAAACCGAACGAACGAAAATGATTCTATTACTAATGCAGACGACAAAAAAATTGAAAAAAAAGTAAATTTGAACAAAACGAAAAAACACGAATTGCAAAATAGAAAAACAAAATGATTTAAGCGGATGACAAGACAACATTTAAACAACAACAAATAGGAAAATTTTTTCTCCAGATATAGACGTGAGTTTCTCTCTCTCTCTCTCTCTCTCTCTCTCTCTCTCTCTCTCCTATTTTCTTCTTCTTTTCCATTCTATTTGTATCTTTTTTTTCTCAATCATTCATTCACCGACCAACCAACCAAGCCAACCAATCAGCCATCCAACCAGCAAACAAACTGACCAAATAAAAAATCAATCGACTAGATATATTCTTGTGCAGTGCAAAAAAAGAATTTTATTTTTATACAATTTGCAAAATTGAAATAAAATGAATTGAAAACAAAACGAAACGAAATGAAAAAAAAAACAAAAAATTTTAATTTGTATATATCCATCTGCTAGCAGGATTGTACAAAAAGTGCTAACAAAAATTTTAAAACAAAATTAAAACAAACAAAATGGAGTAAATTTAAATTCATTTTTTGCTAGATGGCAGGATTGTACGATAAATACTGTTTATCTGGAGTTTTGTAAGATAGAAATGATCGCCTATTT